TATCCATATTAAGCTTATAGCGATCATCCAAGGTAGACGACCAACAATGCCATTTACCTCTCGTCAAAAGGCACCGATTTGATTGGTAAATCTAGAGCTTGAATTATCTATACTAAAAAAACACTAGAAAAATATTTATGATTAAAAATCGTACACATATTACGGAGATAACGACGTACCCGATCGATAATGGCATTAACGGACATAGGAATCTTATGGAATCTTGCCTTGCACCTATGTTTCCATATCTTTGAAGCGAAAAGAATGAGGTAGCTCGCTTAACACATACTTACTTGTTACGAGGTGGAGGCCATCCAAGTATGAAGGAGGTCGAAGAGGAAGTATAAGTACTCCTTATACCAAAATAAGATGTTAATCTAGCCTAAACAACAGAGCTAACTTCTAACTACAAAAAGAAATGTTCGCTCGACTTCTCTCTAGATGACACACAACAACTACGGATGGAGACCATAGGAATGGTCAATTCCTTAATCCTAGAATCAATCGGAAAAGCCCCGTAGAACAAATTTCGGATGAAACCCCATACTCTATCGGGAATACAAGCATGCCAACTTGATTTAGCCCACCAAACCCATGGGTGATGTCTGTCTACAATGATTCCAATAGGATTTGGATTCAAAACTAACATTCTTAGATAAATTCAACACCATCTTATCCTTTAAATGCTCTTCTAATTGAATAACCTTCACAAAATTGTGATATTAAGAAGGAATGAATGGGAGGAAATCATCTAACCATGAAAAAGCCTCATTTACTAGCAGATTATAGTCCAATGGTAAAGAATGACTCAAAATAGTTCCACACCAGTTAGACCACCAAAATGGAATTGAACCCTTACCCATAATCCAAGAAGTACAACCTTCCAAGATAGAAAAAATGATTAAAAATAGCCTTCCAAAATGTAAGATGAATAAGACCAATACTGGGGAGTAAGGCCATATTTAGCTTTTGTGACCTTAGCCTATAAGCTATTACCCTTAAGAAAAGACCAAGCTAGTTTAGCATGTAAAGCATCCATAACCTCGGACAATCTACGAATACCCAAACCACCCTTTGATAAAGGCCGACACACCCTATCCCAAGATACCTAATGATGTTTAGACTCTTCTATTTTACTCCATAAAAAAATTATCCATAATTTTTTTCCAATCTATGGATTGTCGTTTTCGGCAAAGGGATAACAAAAATAGTATGGATAAGAATATTACTTAGCATTACTTTAAAAAGTGTAATCCTAGCTCCCAAAGATAGGTATTTAGATTTCCACCCTCCTACGCTATTTATCGAGGACTTCTCTAAATAATGAAAATATCAACATTTTAATCGGCCATGAAATAGAGGCACTCTAAGGTATTTAATGAGGAAGCTCAAATGATTACACCATGTCCATGCCTTGAGTAAATCAATGCAACAATTAGGCATTTTCTTTGGGGTATAAAATCTACTCTTGGATAAATTCAATAACCGACTTGGAGACTCCTCATGTTCCGTAGTCAATTTCTAAGATGAAGAATTGACTTTTTAGCACCACAGATGAAAAGTAACATATCATCCGCAAAAAAAAGAAAAAAAAATTTGTAATGGCCATGTCACCAACTCCTCCTATCCCGTAAGGGTGATATGTCCTTCTCTGATCGCATTATATGAGGAATAAGAGAGAACTTATTGAACTAAAATAACTAGTAAAAGAGATAAAGGATCTCCTTGTTTAACTCTTCTACTAGATTTAAAAAAGCCATAACTCCTTCCTTGGACCCTAATGATATACCAAATATTACTAATGAAACGATATACTAGATCACAACATTGATTACAAAAACTCATTTCCCTCATTATCCTTAACAAAAAAGACCATTCAACTCTATCTTAAGTTTTAGACATATCGATCTTGAAAATAAGGTTACTACCATACATATTTCTATTCAAATCTACCACTAATTCTTGACCAATTGCAATATTTTTTTGTTTTACTCCTACCCTTAACAAAACTAACTTGCTCCAAAAAGATGATATTAGGTAGAACCTAACCTATTCTATTAGCCATGATTTTTTAGATGATTTTGCACCTAAAAGAAGAAAGGCTAATTGGTATTAAATCATTCATATCCGTAGCATTTGAAATCTTAGGAATCAATATTAAAATAGTTGTTTCCATACCTTTGGGAATATGTCCACCCCTAAAAAAATCCTAAACCGTAAGAATTGCTTCCAACTTAATCAATTCCCAATTACCTTTGAAAAAGTGGCCAATAAAGCCATCTAAACCTAGGGCACTTAAGGGATTAAGGTCGTTAATTGCCTCCCAAATTTTAGCTTCGGATGGAATATCTATAAGCATAGTATTATGGCTCATCGACGATGATTTGAAATGCCTTATAAGTAGAGAATCATGTCTAATAAGTCTACTAGCGAGAAAATAGGTCTTTGAAAAACTAAACAAGCAATAGGCTCTATAACATCCGTATCATTTGTAACGGTTTCATCATGTTATCTAAAAATGAAGGATTGTTTCTTAAAATTATCCTAAATAAAGGCATGAAAAAAGAGGTATTACGATGAACGTCATGTACCCAATTTGCTCTTACTTTCTATTACAAAAGATCTACGTCCCACCTATTCAAATGAGATAAAACATCTCTTGTAGATTGCAAATATTTATTAATATTCTCATTCCATCCATGTAACAAATCATTTTTTAGGCGAATAACCTTGTCTTGAAGATTCTCCACAAGAAGGTGAATATTTCCAAAAGTTTTCCAATTCCACTCGTTTTAACCTACGACCTAGAGTTTTCAACCTAGAATGAAGGATATTTATAGGAGCACCCAAAAAAGGAGTCTCCCAAACTCCTTTAACGAAATCCTTATAATTCTTGTGTTCCATCCACATATGGTGAAACTTAAATAAAGAATAGGACTATCTAGAGGAAGCAAACTAGATCAATAAAGAGGAATGATACAATTCAATCCTAGCAAGATGATGGACCGAAATGGTAGGAAAAGAGGACACAAAATGGCCATTAATTAAAACTCTATCAAGTCTTTCTCGGATTCTAGCTATCCCGGACATATTATCGCACCACGGATACTAGCTATCCATATAACTAACATCATCAACCCTAATAATTGCAGTAATCTATAAAGTCTCTCATTGCTTGAAGATTATGGTTTGTTCCACTAAATTTTTCCGACACATCCGCTATGACATTAAAATTAACCCCTAACTAAGGAAGGTGATACGAGCTAGATAAACAAACTCGGTCTACCTACAAACTCTTATGCTCGGACCGTTTATTCCACCACAAATACTAGCTATCCATATAACTAACATCATCAACCCTAATAATTATAGCAATCAATAAAGTCTCTCTTTGCTTAAAGATCATAGCTCGTTCCACCAACCTTTTCTAACATGTCTACTATGACTTTAAAATCACCCCCTAACCAAAGAAGTCGATACGAGTCTAGATAATCGAACTTAGTCTACCTATAGACTCATACACACTACACTAAAACACTTGGCATAGACAAAAAAAAACATAAAAATGGACTCCAACCATGCATTTTTATTTAATCTATGATTAATTGTTTAGCAATATCCATGCTAGTCACTAAAATGTCAGAATTCTAAAAAAGCCACATCTACATATTAATAGGTTTTTAATGCATATCATGCCTGAAGTTTAATTTTTTTGCAACCTCTTCAATTTTATCTCGGAGTAGTTTAGGTTCTAAAATAACTAAAAGCATAGGACGATATTGTCTTTTAACAGTTTTAAATAGTTTATGGTATCTTTATTTCCCACCCCGTAGCATTTCATATAATGATAGACATGATTTAAAATTTAAGGATAAAAGTACTTATGCTCGTAGAGCTACTCTAGTCTTTCTTCTAAAGTCAAGGTTGTGAGGTTTCGCTTTTTCAACTAGCTTTTTGATAGCTTTGTGAAAATTGTTTACCTGAACCATGTCCTCTTACTCATCATCTAACCGGTTAGAGGATTGGGAATGTGAGAGTAGAGTGTTGGTGTAGTTGTTGTTATGAGAGCAATTGTCTGATAAGGAGCCATGCCAACCAACCTGCTAAATGTCACTCTCTAATGTCTCATCCTCGAAACCATCGAGGATGGAAAAATAGCTAATCCCATTCTCTGTATTAAAACTGTAGGTACAATTATCCTCATTCTTCTTGTTACCCAATTCTAAATTTTGAACCAATGTATGAATCTTAACCTAACTGTCATTAGCGATCTGTCCCTCCTATTGCTGCCTAACACAATCATCTACTGCTGCCCAACACAATCATCTACTTGGACCTTTCTCTCCACCCCCACTCGAGACCCCTTGATATTATTTGTAGCGACCAAAATACCAGCAACACTTGTGCCATTAATTAATTCTGAAGTAACACAACCTCCCTCAATAATTTGATCCATATGTACAGGCTTATCATCGTAAACTGTCTAAGTTGCTTGTGATATATTGGCTACAGTATCATGCAATCCATGTGAAGAATGTACCAAAGTAGCTAATGTATCTCAATTTTGTCCACAATCTTGTAAGCCTTAGGATGTAGTAGCTACAGTACCCTGCAAAGACATTGTATTAACCTCTACCAAAACGTTCCTACCTCCAACAGTACCTATTTGTGTAAAGGTAGGCTGGGAGCTTATGTTATTAGAGGACACAGTAGCATGCAGGGTTTGTGGGATATCTTCTATTGTATCCTTCATATCATAGAAACTGATTTATTAGTTATTTCTCTAGCTTGGCCCCTCAAAGAAATTATCTGAACCATATTCTTATCAACCAAGTGAGTAGCTTCTACACCAATCCCTGACTTCAACTGTTTGTATCGAGTGACAGAAGGTTGCACACTTTTGGGTGGCATAATGACACTGACATGTGAGGATGTTGCATATGGTCTGCTACATCAACATACTTAGCTCTAGTTTTTCCTCCCATAGAGACTGCCTGTAACTAATGTCTAGTATAAGATTGATACTCCTCTTCAGGGTTTATGTTAACATACTTTCCAGTAGTAACTCCCTTCATACCAAAAATCTCCTTTATGTTAGAGGTAATAGCTATCGTTCCTTGTAGATCTTGTGTAATCTGGCTTAAAGAAAACTTTTGAGACTCATCACCTATGCTGCTATTTTTTCTAGAAACTGGAATCCATATTCCTTTGCCTTTGTCATTTCCTTTGTTTGCAGGCAAAGGGAGGTGTTGCGCAACATATTTTGGAATAGAGACAGTAGCAATAGCTGCTTCCTTAACTGGATGAACTTGGCTCTTTTGATATGTTGCCTGGTTGCGACCTATTAACCTGCATCTTGAACAGAAGGATAAATTGCCTTCATAATCCACTTTTTGCCAAAAGCCATTCTCTTTAGAACAGTCGATCCAAACTCTTGATGGAAGATGTTTTGAGACATCTATCACCACACATATGCATGCAAACATAGGGCGAGTGAATGATCTTGTTCTCTCATTTGCTCTAAGGAAAATCCCGAGACACTTTCTTAAATATGAGGGGGTCAAAAATGTGAGAGGGAGATGAGGCAAGCAGATCCAAGCTGCAATCTTGGAACTATCTTTTCGAAATCTAAAATCTAGGCTCCATAAAAAACATCTATACATTGAGTTCTGGATCTTATGATCTTCCTTTGCTAATCCTTTAATAGTGTTTGCTTCAGAGTGTAGAAACACCATCACATGCCTCGGTCCAATAACCCTATAATTGATGCCCTTTACAGCTGCCAATGATCGGTTGATATGTTATCTTATGTCTGTTAAATTAGGGCGTCCTCTCGAGAACTTAAGAACTAGAGTGTTTGTGAACTATGCTGCTGCCTTATCTAGTTCTAATGCTGAAAATAGGTAAGTCGGTTCCTCGTTGATGAAAGAGGATTGCCTTACTGTGAGGGGAAGATCCTTAATAGGGGGCTGGCTTTCCGTGACATTTTATGCCTTATCGTGAATTTTGAGCAGCGAGGCATAGTGCTGAGCATCTAATAGATTCTGTCCCAAAGGCAAGTAAGGAGGGAAAGCAAATTATGAATCCGAAATTGTAGGAGTTCCAACCGTCGCAACACTGTTAAAAACTTGTTTTGGAACAACAGTCTCCGTGTTGCAGCATTACTGCCTAAACGTGCCTGCAGATTTACAATTGTTGAGTTGCTGTCCAACCATGCCTTGGTGGAAGAAGCTCTCGTATCCGTGGTGGAAGGTGTGACACCAACACAGATACATTGTTAGTGCTGCTTTGTCTTCCAGCCTGAACTGTACCTTCATGGTCGGTGCTGGACTGTCCAAGTCTGCTTGTACTGGTCATTAATAAGGGAGATATGTCATGTATCTATGGTGGGGGAATATCCCGTTGCAGTGGAGGGATTGGTGCCCTAGCCACCATGGTTGGTCGGGGAGGCAGTATGCATCTATATATATAAACGTCAATCATTTGATATTAATTGTTTTAATATTCTAAAAACTAATTTTTTAAATAAAATAATTAAAATAATATTTTAAGAGAAAAAAAAAACAATTAATAATTCAAATCCATTCTTTTGTACTAATAATATTGATTGTTATATATATATATATATATATTAAATGTACATATTTTTTAAAAGTTAAAAAGATTTGTTAGTTGATTTTTATATAAGTTTTTGTATTGACTATTAATTTATTTTTCAATACAATTATATAAAAAAATTTGAAGATATTTTTTTAAAAAAAATTATATTAAATTTTATATTTGTATTATTATAGATTTTTATTTAAGAATGAATGCTTAACAAAAATAAATTATTTTTTTAGCCACAAAATTTATAAAAAAAAATAAAAATTAGAATAAATAAAACATAAAATTTTAATTAAATATTATGAAATTCGATAAAATTGTATTTTTTTTTAACTTTATTTTAATATATTCTAATTTATTGATATAATGGTTCAAACTATAATGAGATTTTTGACCCGCGTTACGTTGTGGGTTAGATAAAATATATAAAATCATTTAGAAAAATTATTTCAGTTTAATAATTTGTTTTATAATGTAAATTTATAACAATATATGAAATCAAATGTAAAAAAACATAATTATGCTTTTGTAATAAAACATTTTGTATTTAAATATTTTTTATTTGTGTTTTTCATATTTTTTTCTTTACAAAAAGGATTTGTCCTTGTTAATCCATGGATTATTAACTAAAAAAAATTATTTAATTTTTTTAAAAGGTTTTAGCATTTTATAAGATTATGTTGAAAAACAAAAATAACAATTACTAAAAGCTTACATAGAATTGAACAAATATTTTTTTTATTTCATGTTGATGAGAATATCAATTTTTGAAAAAGTGTGAATTTAATTTTAGTTAATTGGATGAATAATATTAAAATAATTCAAAAATATGAGTAAATATAATTTTAAATTAATTAGATGAGAATTTAAAAGAAATGATGAATTAATGAAAATAGTAATAAATGACAAACTATTAGTAATAAAATTCTTTATTATAATATATGTTTTTTTTTTTGAGAAATACATCTTATGTAATTGTTAATTAATAAATTATGTTATGTGATAGTATGTGCTTATAGACATAATTATTTTTTGGAAAAAAACATTATTTTTTCAAATTAGATATTTTAAACTTTAGAAATAAATAATAAAAGAAATAAATTGTTGGTTCCTTTAAAATTTTAACACCCAACATTATTCAGAAATGGAAATTAAAAAAAAAATAGTTCACTTTTTAGAATTGGAAATAAAAAAATGATCACATCAAAAGAAAAATTAGATATTTTGAATTTTAGAAATAAATAATAAAGGAAATGAATTTTTAGTTTCTTTAAAATTTTAACAAACCAATTCATTGTTGGTTCCTTTAAAATTTTAACACCCAACATTATTAATAAACAAAAATTAAAAAAATAATAATAATTCAATGTTTAAAAAAAAGAGGGGGGCAATCGTTTACTGTTCATGTGAACAATAAACATATGAAAATTTAAAAAAAAATCAATATTTAGAAACAAAAAAAAAGAAAGGAGCAAGTTGTTTACTGTTCAAATAAACAGTAAACATAACAAAAAAGAGAAAAAAGGCCAAATGGCACTAGCTAAAAATAAAAATTAAAGCACAATAATGAATAGCGTTAATTACGGTTTATTTTATTGGTCATTGTTACAGTAACAAATCATTTTAGTATAACTTAATTTAGACTGTTGCGTAGCGTAAAAAGGGAACTAATTACATCTATTCTCACTCAATTTTTACGGACTTGTTAATGAGATATGCATGTATCCCATCTGTCTAAGGATCTTCGTTGCCTATGTGGAACGTGGATTGTCTCAAACCTTTCCAGTTAAAGTCTTACCATGAGGCAAAGCAAGAGAGTTCAAAATTTATGTCAGATTTGAAATCCCACGTACCGTCACATGGCTCAGCAGGGTCTTAATCAGTTCTGAGAACATTTATTAGTCTACAGGCTTGCCGCTGAGGAAAGGAGTAATGTTCTTTCGAGTTGGTTTTACAATTATATGGCCTGATTAACTAATTACAGAAAATCTCCCTACTAGACTACTAGTACCAAATGTGAAATTGAAGACAACATATCTTAATAGATCTCTATTTTACTTTTTATGTATAAAATCTTCCATCAGATGTACATCAATGGTATCTATTTTTAATAGCTACGAAAGAGATGAAAGCATGAAGCCCATGATCAGCTCCCTTCTTTCTACCATAATGTTTCTTTTTAATCAGTTGAAAGAATTTCGAGTGGCAATAATGCCTTGAATCTGCAGATTGTTCTTTAATGCACATGTGAAAGGCTTTGTTAAATTACTGGTTTGCTTTTCTTACAAGTAGGACTAGTTTGGTGCTGACCACGCAAGTAATCCACAGTTCGATACTGTAAAGGCATGGAAATAAGCAGAACTCTCATGGATGCCAGTATCTAATGGCAGCAATGCAGAAAGAAAAAAGCGTCCCTATCTCCCGCTAAACTATACAATAGTCTAATAAATTCTTGCTTCCTGTCCTTTTACAAGATAATGTGGTTTGGACGGTAGGCTTTAAGCCAATAAATAAATAATAGCCGATACCTCAGAGAAGAAAGTCAAGATGTGACCTTCGAAAGGAAACTTCCTCTCTTTCTTCGTTCTCTTTTCTCAAGACATCGTTTTATGCAAATGCTTGATGAAAGTGAACGATACGTTGGATTCAAGCTTTACGGCAAAATTTGTTTTGGTTTTATCACAGTTCCACTATTTCAGATTTTTAAAATTATTTTTAAAAAAATTAAAAAAGTTATATATAAATAACAATTTAATTGGATATGAAAAACAAAAAAATTAATCTGTAAAAAATTTAAATAGAAAGACTGTCTTAAAAAATGAAAGAAAAACAAAAACATATTTAACATTAAAAATAACTTTGGGGAAAAAAAACAATAGAAAAAATTTATCAGTAATACATTATAATTAACAAATTTAAATAAAATTTACTTAAAAATTAATATTTTAAAATTTATAATAAAAGATTAAAATTGTTAAATTGCAATGAAACTTAGTCAAATTTTATCATTAAACCGCTGTATTAGTGGTTAGATGCACTTCAAAGGGATACATCGAATGTACGAGCTCACTCAGGTCTCAAAGACCGGTGAGTGTTGAATAAGTATCATGACATATGTTCAATTATTATTGGTTAAAATGACTAGAGGATAAAGGAGTCTGGCCCCGCATAAAGCTTGGATTTGTACGTGTCAAGCCATTATTGATCTATCATTTGGAGTATGTGCTAATTGAATTGAAAGTTCTTAAATATTTCGAAAGTTGTTACTATTTTTTTAACACAATCAGAAAAGTAATAAATCTAATCTAATCATGCAATAAAGGATAAGAAAATATCATTTCTACGAAAAATTAAATTGCACTACTAAAAGTATCTAACTTAAAATAAGTTGAATTAATCAAAAGAATTAAAAGAATTAAATTAAAACTCTATTCTAAAGTTGTATAATTGAAAATTACTAATAAGATGATATGAAAGTAGCTAGGGATAAATTCATTTAATTCTCACTTATGCAATTGACTATATTAACTTAACTCACAAACTACTTTAAGGTCTATCTTAATATATGTAACAATGGAATTTCTTGAACAATTTAATATGCTATTTCTAATCAGATTAACCTTATTCTTCACCTAACAAATCATCCACATTTCTATGTGACTTAAATTAAGATCTAAATGCATTAGAATCAATGGAATCCTCTAATGTAAAATAAGCATGCCATCACGCACTTCTCTTTTTCATTATCGTACTAGAACTAGTTATCTTTCGATTAATAGTAAACTAGTGATTTATATTGCTATGATCTAACACATACAATTTCCTTTCGGGTTCAAGCACATGTCATTAAATCAATATGAGGTGATCACTCTCTTAAAGCATTAAACGCAGCAATATAAATTCATCATACATCAAGAATCGGGTTTTGAGTTGAGAAAAATAATTAATCACATGAAATAAGAATTAAAATAATCCATCCCTAACTTAAGAGTTTATCTCAACATAAAGGAATTTGCTAGATCTAAAAATAAAATATTACATTGACAATTCATCAAATAATAATCAAAAGAAATTCAATTACTTGTCTAATGAATCAACTATTCCTTTCCTCTCTCTACCGTCCCGGCTTGCTCTCCGCAACCTGTGATTTATTTTGCTCTTTGCTGCCTCAACCCGTGAAAATTCTCTTGCTACCTGCAGATCCTGTAAAAATCCTCATGTCGTTACCCCTCTTAAATCCGTGCGAATTCTCCTTTTACAAAAATCCTCACTGTCGTCACCCCTCTTAAATCCGTGCGAATTCTCCTTTTATAATGATATAAAAAAAATTCTCTTTCTTTTTTTCTACACTATCGTGCCTTAAGTCCCACTTCTCATGCTTATCACCTTTTCCTTTATAGCTAGACTCCCCTTTTTTAGTCCAGGACGCCACTCTCCTCCAAGGTGATGAATTGATTTTTTTAAAGTGTCCATGTCAAACACTTTTTCTTCTTTACTCTTTAATCCTTGCTTTTGATTTTTACTTTCATTTCGAGTCTTTGTTTTTGCCTTACTTCTTAGTCTTCTCTTTAATCTTTATACCTACAAATTCAAAGCATATAGGAATTAATTTATATCAAATAAAACATAAATCACATGCATAATTAACAAATTCAAGCTCCAAGTTTACATAAAATATATGTATAAATTATACTTATCAAATTTTCCCACATTTTATCTTTTGCATGTCCTCGACAAAGCAAACTAAACTAACTACATGAAATCAAATACATTTTAACTCATATTCGTAGGAATCACGATTGCATTTAGCATATGCAACAAGTCTTTAAACCCTTCGGTCACCCCTAGTGGACGAGTTATGTCTCGTGAGGGTTTCGGAAGATATACCCACAAAATCTTTGTATAAATTTTATACATGTATAAACACTCTTAATCGATATCACAATTTGGAAAGTCATAAACACAAAGGCAATAAAAATCTTTAAGATTGATAACATATCATGAATCAATTATCTCAATAACATAAAAATCAATCAATATTACAATTTCTTTCAAAACAGAGTAAGCTAAATTGGTAGACCCTCACAAGATAAACTCTCCAACTCTCAAGTGTTTAGGGCAAGTATTTCACTCAACTTCATTCCATAAAATTGTACTACCATAGGCTTGCTTATCATCTTAACTCTCCATTACTTAGATCACATGCATAACACAAATCAAAAGGACTTTTCAATAGGTTGTAATGTGGCTAAGGAAAGGTAAGGAATTTTTATGATATGAGATTGTGAAACCAAAGAAATTAATAGAGCATTTGACTAATAACTTAGGTAGATAAAACCATTAGGACCTAAAACCTATTGTCCAAAATTCAAACAATTATCAACTTCCTCATAATTGCTTCCCTTTTCTCAAGCATATGAACATCATCACACATTTTCTTTAGATATAACATTGACACGCATGACACATATTTATTTTCTCTTCTTTTTTTTTTTTTTTTTTTTTTGGCTTAAATAGCTGTTCTCGTATTTCCAAAACAGTCTCAGTATTGCCATAGGTCGAAACCATATCTCCACTGATCAAAAAATTCTGAAAATTTACCAGAAATTGAATAAGGGCTAAAAGAAGCTACTGTCCAAAAATCAGCCCAATCCGACATTGTTTGATCCCTCTGATACTTTGTTCAATTTCGGATTTCATGTCATGTTTTTCCATAAAACTTTTCTCATGAAGTTCATGTCTTAAGTAGAAAATAATAAACCTCCACCTCCATCTTTTCCAAAAAATTCAACCAAAACAACTAACCTATTCTTCTTTGAATCTATACCCCCACACTTGTTCAAAAACCCATCCCACTTAGTAATTCAAATGCTCTACTAATACCTAACGTAAGATAAAGATGTTTATTTTCAAGTTAAAGGCTTGTAATAGATTTAACAATAAGAAAGGTCAATTAAGCTCAAAGAGGCTCATCAATGGTAAATTATATGGTAGGTTGTTTAGGCTAAATAGCTACTTCAAAGATGGCCTTTATCATATTTGTGTATGGATGTGTCAATGTAATCTCAACAAGAATCAAAGCGAGTTCTAGAGAAAAAAATCCATGGAATATCACACAAAAGAAGTAGAGATTGATATTAATGTTCAATCTTATAGGCTCAAAATCTCACGAGGTTATGTCTACCAAATTCAATTGACTACCATTCTTAAATCAATCACCATATTAATCAATCTCAAGTTGCAAGTCAATTTATTCAATCATGTTATGCAACTTTAAAACTTAATTGACTTTTGCTTATTACTTACACAAATCTTGACATCATTAAAAAGTACCTAACACACAATGATTTTTTTTTTTTTTTTTTGCATATTTATAAAATAGATAACAAAAGAAAACTAACTAAAATTTGACAAAAAATTAAAAATTTTAAATCCCCCCCCCCACACACACACACTTTTACTTTACATTGTCCCCAATGTAATGCACAAAATCAATAAATCATGGACGTATAAAATTAAAAGTAGAAAGGGTTAGAAAATAAATTTGGTGATGGCTGAATAGCCATTCTTGGGTTGCCTCCCAAAAAGCGTTGTTGTTTAATGTCACTTGCTCGACTTTCAGCTGCTCAAGGATCCCTTAAGAGCAATTTTTTTATCCCAACCGAGAAATTGAACTTCTCATATAAAGTTTGAGTCTATGCCCATTGACTTTGAAAGCTTCTTTGTTCCCTTAAGAATTCTCTACAACTCCGTGAGGAAACATTTTCTTAATCACATAAGGACCACTCCACCTTGATTTTAGCTTTCCAGAAACAACTTCAACCTAGAATTGAAAAGGAGGAATTTTTCACCTACTTTGAACTCCTTAGGATTGATGTGAGCATCATGCCAAGCTTTTGTTTTTCTTTATATATCTTGGAATTCTCATAAGCTTGATGTCACCATTCCTCTAACTCATTCAACTAAAGAAGCATTTCCTTTCCTGCAGACTTGTAAATCAAAGTTTAACAATTTCACAGACCTAATATGCTTTGTGTTCAAGTTCCACCGGTAAATGACAAGCCTTACCGAAAACCAAACAATATGACGACATTCCAATAGGAGTCTTGAATGCTATCCTATAAGCCCAAAGTGTATCATCTAATTTAAGTGACCAATCCTTCCTAGACATATGGATAGTTTCTTCTAAAATTCTCTTCAATTCCCTATTAGAGACCTCTACTTGTGCGTTTGTTTGTGGGTGATAAGGAGTAGCAATCTTATGAGTTTTTCTTCCTCAAGTCCTGTCAAAGAAGAAGACACTATAACGAGTAAAGTATGTGAGTCTTTCAAGTAAATATACTTTAAATGAGAAAGAAGCATTTTCAATTATAAAGTCAAAGATTCATTTTTTGATGATTCGACTTGCAAAGTGTTAACCACATCCAATGCCAAAATTCTTTCTACTTTAGTATCGGCTTGCCTAAGTTCTCTCTTATAAATTTCACAGACCTCCCTTGTTTCTTTTAGGATTTCATCTTTCATATCTAAAGCATGCAAAACACAAAAATCGAGTAGCATTGTCAACTTTATACAATTGTAAATCCTCATTGACTAACCGATCTACCACATCAATTCTAAAAGCTTCTTCATCCCTCTTATAATTTTTCATAGCCTCAAAAACATTAAAAATTACTTCTTCATCTTGAATCCTAAAGCTAATCACCCTCATTTAACATCAATTTAAGCTCCCTTAGTTGCTAAAAATGGCCTACCCAAAATTAGAGGCATATTAACATCCTCTTCCATGTTAAGCACAATAAAATCAATCGGGAAAATAAACCTATCAACTTTAACCAAAACATCCTCTATTATTTCCTTAGGATATCTAATACTTCTATTAGCTAACTGTAGAGAAATAGTAGTGGGTCAAGGATCTTTCATTCCAAGCTTTGTAAAAATAGAGAAATGCATTAAATTAATGCTAGCTCTTAGATCACATAATACCTTTTCAAAAGTAATAGTACAATAGTACAAGGTATAGAGAAACTCCCTGGGTCTTTTATCTTTGGCGGTAACTTGTTAAGAATAATTAAGGAACATTCTTCATTCACCTTCACGAGTCTCAAATTCTTCTAGTTTTCTTTTGTTAGCAATCGGATCTTTCAAGAATTTAGCATAACTAGGCATCTGCAAAATAGCATCTAAAAGAGGTATGTTAATATGTAACTTCTTAAAAACCTCTAAAAATTTAAAAAATTTCTTATCAAGATTAGCTTGTGCAAGTCTCTCGGGAAAAGGAATAGGATGTTTATATGGGTTGACATTTGAGTCCGCGAAGAGTTTCCTCTTCGATTCTTTATCCTTCATAATGTTCCGTTTATCATTAAGATCATCACTAAGGACTTCTCTTTTCTTTTCTTTACCCTTACCAAAATACCCCACTTGTTTTCCACCTTTTAAGGTGATGGCCTTGACTTGCTCTCTTAGGTTTTTCTTAATATTGCTCAGCGAGCCTCCTTGTTGTCTCTCGACCATCATAGTAGGTTAATATGTAACTTCTTAAAAACCTCTAAAAATTTAAAAAATTTCTTATCAAGATTAGCTTGTGCAAGTCTCTCGGGAAAAGGAATAGGATGTTTATATGGGTTGACATTTGAGTCCGCGAAGAGTTTCCTCTTCGATTCTTTATCCTTCATAATGTTCTGTTTATCATTAAGATCATCACTAAGGACTTCTCTTTTCTTTTCTTTACCCTTACCAAAATACCCCACTTGTTTTCCACCTTTTAAGGTGATGGCCTTGACTTGCTCTCTTAGGTTTTTCTTAATATTGCACAGCGAGCCTCCTTGTTGTCTCTCGACCATCATAGTAGCTAATCGCCCAATTTGTACTTCTAATTTTTTAATGGATGCCACTTGGCTTTGAAACCTAGTGTTAACACTCAATTTTGGGTCCAAAAAAGAGAAAAAAAAAGAAAAAGGAAATGACAAAAAGGAAGTAAAAAAATAATGCAATTGGGGTGCAATTAAAGAAGAAAAGAGAAAGGAAGCAAAATAAAATTGGTTTTTAAAATGAGGGACCAAAACAGATTTTTGCCAAAAAAACCTAAAAAGCTAGTATAAAAGCCCTTTTTCTCCCACAAAGGACCAGCCTATCGTTCACCCCTTTCAAGAGAAACCCTAGCCGCCTACTCCCATCACACCAACCATTCAAAACGCCCACCACCCTCTACTTTGCTAGCGACAACCACCCCCACTCGCCTCGCACGCTGCAGCCTCCCTCGGACCGGGTGGTGCGCTCGCGTGCCGTAGCACTTACAACGA